ACTAAACGAGGTCAATGAAAAATATTAAATTGGAAAAATAGAACTGAAATGCCGTGGCAATCGAGAGAGAGAGAAAAAAAGAGACAAAATGAGATTTAAAGCAATCAAAACAAGCAACTGTTGGAGTCTTCTTACTGGAGGTCAGAGATCAAGAACGATTCCCACCAACTCAAGATGGGGTTTCAAACAAAAGAAATGTTTTTTTGTGCAATTGCTCCCTTAAATAATGATGCCCGATATTTCACATAATTCACAAATTGAAGTGATTTGGAAGAAAAACCTGCTTTAAATAAGTAAAAAAGAGCAGCAGAAACCAGTTTAGTTCAGTTTATATTGAAAAAGGTGGGGGGGGGGTTGAAAGAGTCCACACAGTTTGCTTCGTGACATACAGCACGCAGGTCTCCATTTCATACCCTGCGACTCCAGACATCAGAGTAGGTTAAAATACGTTCTACATTTGTTCTTTATGAAAGACGCATGTTAGTTTATCGTTGCACAGCTACAAGCTCCTGATCAAGCTGCAGAATGAATTGTGACCATAACCCTTGAGGTCAGACACAGTACTTCCAAAAGGTTCTTTGTGCAGTCTCCTACAGAGTTGGTAATAGGTAGCGTGTGATTTAAAGCCAGCCACCATTCAGACCCTGGTACCATTGCGATTGCACGTTTAGCCTAGGGCATCAGTCTTCTGGGTTTGGCCTCCAAATGCCTGACTATTTAGCTTGGCCTGTTGCCACCTTTTATATCTCAGTCTGTACATCAGCGCCTGAGACTGCTTGCCTAAGCTGATTTAAAATCATGGTGGAAAAAAAAAGGGTGCTTCACTTCTAATCAAGGCTGATCTTTCACTGTTTTTACAAAAAGCCTCATCATTTGTAAGTAAGGAGCTTTCTCCCCCACCCTCATCCCCCAACAAACAACATTTTTTTTTCTCTCAGGCAAAGCTCACCAGATTATTTCAATTAGGAACATGTCATTGCCAATTGGAAACAACCCTCTTCTAGAGTTCATTGCTACTCAAAGAGTTTTAGGTTTCTTCCTGCTCCTTCAAAGATCTAATTTTCTAGGTACGGTTGCCATGGAAACCAGTTGGGGAATTTTAATCCATTGCTAAAGGTCAAATCAGGCCAGAAGCTTCACTTGCTCATCACCAGTCTTGCAGGCAATGCGACGCGAGAGATTGAGATGCAACCTAGCGAGACCAGAAAGTGCCCACCCATATTGCTGTAAGGTTGCTGAAGAACTAATGGTTCGGGAGTAGTGTTCAAGCTGTTTTATAAGAGTGCAAGTCGGAGGTGCTGAACCATCAAGCGACGCACGTTTCTGTACTTTCCTATTCCCCCTTCTGTTTTAAGTGTCAATTTGCTGCTTTGTAATCATTCGAGACTTTTCAACACTGTGTCAGAAGGAACACAATGGTTCCAGGTTACAATGGGTAGGCCAGGAAATGTCATACTTTAAATAGCTGTTACATAATGAGGTGCAATGCAATAATAGACATTAAGCCGTATCCTCAGCTTATTCTGAACCTTCAACTGGAGACTCCGTGTCACTGAAAAGCCTGGGTTTGACTGTGAATTTCTTACTTGCAACAAGGAAATTTCTGTTGGCAAAACCCAGCACAATAAGGTTCTAGATTCTTAGAAAGCAGTGTATTTGGAACAACAATGATGGTTGGTGGTAGACAGAGCGAGCCTGCCAAGACTTTGATAAAACCTTACTTCACAATCAATGGTCTCAGAAGCCGTTGGGATCTTCATAAAAGCAAAATTCTCATTAGTGAAGCCATTCAAATCAAAGTTGATTGTTAAAAACCTTGACAGTCCTGCTCTGTGTCTACTATCATCATTGCCTATTCTGGACATACTGCTTTATAAGATGCCAAGCCCTCACGTACGTTGTTGCTGCTGACATCGCTTACTTGCAAATAAGTAACTACTCATTGCACTCTGGTTCTAATGCTAATGTACAATCTGTCCTGTTATAATATTTGTTGAGAGGTCTGCTTTATGGAGTCTAGGCTTGGAAACTGTGGAATTGCACGCCGAGCAGATTCGCAGTGTCCGAGGAAGGTGATAAAAAAAAAGCGGGTAAAAAAGGGGGAATTATAGAGAAACTGCAGCACAGAATCAGGCCATTCAGCACAACTAGTTCATGCTGTTTATATTGCATGAGTCTCTCACCTCCAAAGTCCACCCTCCCAGTACCTCCCTATTCCATTCTTTCTCACACATGCACTGAGTTTCCTGTTAAAATCATTGATAGTTTCTGCTTTTTTTTCTTGCTACATAGGATTGTTAAAACAGCTCCACTAAACAGGTTAGGACACAGATGTGAACAAGTTAAAGATCTGTGTGTACACATTTGTTGGAATAATTATTACTCGGCATTAAAAGGCATGACACTAAATCAATCCTCTCATTAGATTGATACATAAACAATAGATTAGTCTGCAGATGATTTGATCTCATTATTAGTCTTGAATGATGGATGAATAGTTCAGTATAATAAGAAATAGTGTTCTGCACAAGAGGGAATAACTTCAGCATAGGTCTGAAACCATTCTGTTTAGGTTAAGAACAGATGTAGCTTTCGAGTACAACTTAAGGAATTCAAACAATCCAAATGTTGTGACTTGCTCTCCCTGGGAAAACCCTTCTGAAAGCGCCCTTAGATAATGCAGCCACTTACCCACCCAGTGGGGGTAGGGGGGTAGCGACAGTCTCTCAATAGATACAACGTAAACTTTTCTCCTCATTCATTGCTAACAGGTTAAACTTATTCAGTTTACATTTTCCTTACACCAAACGTGTGGGTCCAAATGAACAAGAACTTATGTGCAAAGCAAAAATGTTGCAAAAAATTGTCGGGTACTAAAGGTAACTAATTGTACTTTTAGACATCGGAGTCTAATTTCTAACTGGATTCCTTAATAAGAATGAATAGTTAGTTCAGTGTAATATGAAATAAGGTCACACGCATCGCACTCGCCTCCAAAATTAGATTGCATTGGAGATCCGGCAAGTTGTCATGAAGTACTTTTAGTTTCCGTATGAAGGCATCCCAGCTTACAGTGGCAGCACTTTTGTTGCATGTGGGAACAGCGGTCACTGAATCAAGATTGTTTCAGAATGGCCAGAGGATTTGGAACTAATCTGAACTCCTTATGTGGCTCGAAGCAGGGTATAAAATGGATTATTTACACTCTTTCACTTGTACCACTGCCTGAGAAGTTGCAAAACTGGTATTGAACATCTAACTATGTCTCAAATAATGTATATACAGTAGTTGATCCTGCTAAGAGTACAAAAACCTCACTTGATAAACAGTCATTTATAATATTTACTCTGAGTAAACCATGCCACAGTAACTACCTATATGTTTCAAAGTGACTAATGCAATACTTTACACTCAGGTCCATCACTTTGAAAGTGACAAATTATCACTAAAGCTTCACATCAAAATCGTTCCAGATGAAAGGAGAATTGCTCTGCAGCTCTGCTGCCAAAATGAAATGAGATCAGTTTTAGAGTTTTAGCTTTCTTCCAGGAATTTCTTACTTCCAAGTGTTGCTACTGAAATAAAAGCTTATTGGCAAGAAATCTGAAACAGAAAATTATAGTACAAATGCAGAAATGGGATTAAAATTAAACTTGGAAGAACATAGCTATAATTAATGTCAGGCACCAGCCTGTTAATTATTAAAATATTGTATTGTTTAAAGCATTAAGTCATTTTGTACAGCTATATGGCAAGCTCAGTTGGATTTCAAGATGTATTTACTGTTCTTTTTTTTAATAAGCTTTTGTAACTCCAAATGATTACATACATTGTGTATACTTCATACTAGTTATTCATTTCATTGACGCACAGATATAAAACATCATCTGCTAAAGTGCAGGTTAATAGAGGCTGTGGATGGTGAAAGGCAAAACCAGAAGCATTTTTTTATTAGATTTTAGTGGTGATCCTTCTCAGATGATTAAAAGGAGGAAATGCACTTTGTGGCTGGACTGATGGTGAAGTATGTGGAGGTTATCACAATATAGACCCATCCATAGCTGTCATTTCTCAGACAAGGAAAAGCCACCCTATTTGGAAACCCATTCCAATTGTTGACAACACTTTGGAAGATTTCCGTCTCCTCTGATTCCACAATTACCCCTAGCTCGGTGTCAGTGCAGATGTTAACTACCTAGACAGGGGAATGGGGACTTGTTCCAGCATTCAAAGGTTGTGTGGGGCAAGTGTTTCAGACTGTTAGTCACCATCCCAAAGCACAATACATCCCGAGTTAATATCGTAGGCTCATTTACCCATACCCAGGCTCCATAATTTGTATTTTACCGTTTGACACACTGCAAACTTATTGCGGTGACTATGAGTGGTTGCAAAATGAAGGCGGATAACAATTGCCCCTAAAGATTCACATGAAAACTCAACCCATGTACTTCGTGTGGACAGTAATGCAACATATGCATCCAAGATCTCACTTCATCATGACGTTTCAACAACATTCACATCTTTACTTGATCTGCGATAAATTATTTTGAAAGGGCATTAGATCAGATGCCTATAAGGAGGAATATTGAAGCTGGTGGGGGAAGCAAGTGGGTCAGTAGAGTTGGATTAGGTAGTCTGTGAGGTAACATGCATCAATGCAGACTAAATGGGATGAATGGTCAGTTCCTGCGCTATAACCTTCTATGATTCTATTCGGTTTGTGTTTGCGCAATGAGCAGCAGATAGCAACCTGGATTAGGAGAATAAAAGCTTGTCTTTTTTTAAAAACAAATTGAAGGACAAACGTGAAGGATAAATGAACTTCTCTTGAAATGAACCAGGATTACAAGGCCTTATAAATCTTTTGAGGCCCAAACACATTGATGTGACCTTAAAGCTCTCAGCCAGCTGCTTTCACTTGTTAGATAAACAGCTGAAGGTAAACCACAGCCACATGAAGCCCACCGTGAGATTTTATTAAGAGCAACGGTACTCACGATTTCTGCGGAGCTGACTTTGTCGGAGGCTTCCCTTGAACGTCGCAGCGCTCTGAAGAGAAAATGCATGCAACCATCATGACACTGTGTCACAAGGCCCATTCTCAGCTGTTGACATTTCTATTCAAAAATCCCGCTGTTAACATGCCACAACACATAATACTTTCTTATCGGGAAATTATTCTTCCATCTTCCGAGTGTGACACCGTGTAATTAACATTCCAATATTAAGTTTAATTATACACGCAGCATTAAATTGCCTTGAAAGACAGCAAAAAAAAAGTGACCTACTTTGCCCATTGTATCCCGAGGTCAGATGCTGGGAGTCCTGTAACAAAGAACGCGAGACACCTCAGAGCACATTTTCCATCCGTACAGCCCAAACGGATCGTGAGTTCAGAAATTAATGAATGATAATGGTAAGGCAATTAAGCGGAGCACAATGACAATGTGTTGCTCTGTTTATATTGGGTAATTACCTGGAGCAGTTAGAACAAAATACACAATTCAAACAGAGTGAATAAAAATTCAGACTGACAAGAACGCTGATGCAGAAAGAATATCCCATTCATGTTACCCAAACAATATCTCTTTGAAGCAGTTAATACAGCACATGGTTTTACAAAGGGCAGGCTAATATGAAAGCCGCATTATGCAGTGGATTTCATACTTCATTTATTAGGACAAACGGAGGTCTGATTAATGATCAAATTGGCCACAAAGTGACCAATTTGAGCTTGTGATCAGCCAAATCCTCTTGCTCTGTAAAACTGCATTGCTTCACCCTAGACTCACATCATGAGTAGCATTCATACCAGTGCCAATGCAGATACTAACACAATCTGTTGATAGATCAAATCCCACTGTTTTCAGTACTGTTTTCGTGAGAATGTCTAACTTCGGTTAAGGTCAGCCTGAATCTCTCAATCTCCATGACTGACATCAACAAAGCCACAGATTTCAGAACAGGCGGTTGTGCCAACTTTGGGGTGTTGCTCACATCCAGAAACTGACTTGGACTGTATTATTCAGCATCAGTGTATCACATCCTGATCATTTTGCGAAGGTGCAATTTAAACCCCTATGACTAAAGTAACAGTTCATGACAGATGGAAGGCAATAAAAGGATTTTCACCCTGGTAGCTTTCTAAGGATTGTGAAAGCGACAAGTGAGTGAGGTGCAATTATATAGTGACCCTCACACAGGGTACAGCTCTGGGACGCTACCCTGTGTGAGGGGCGCTATATAAATGCAACATGTGGCAACATGTCTCGATCAACTTTTGCACTCTTTTTTAGGTTCACAACAAATAAACAAACTACCTGTGAATTTGGCCAGTTTAATCATTGCCTCTCTGGTTAGATTTAAAACAGGGGATGAGGGAGGGGGGCGGAGTGGGGGGATGAGGGAAGGGGGGGGCGGTGGAGAGAGGTCTTACCTTCGTTGGGATTGGGAACTTGGTTGGCTCAGCTTTACCAGGAGTGTGTATAGCCGTCAGTGGAGGAGGCCAAGAATGGGTCATCTCCTGCGAAGAGACAATTCACAAATCCACTTGTAATCCCAGTCACATCACATCAAGCCATTGAAACACCGTACGAACAGTTTCCAAGAAATATTATGCAGTTTAAACAATAAATCGGAATGCCGCTCAAAAAAACGTACTGTAAGAACGTGAATTGAAAGACAAACTCAAGTCACCATCGAACACTTTTTTAATTTACACTGTATTCATTTGGCATGTGAAATACTATTGCATTTAGTGATGGTTATACCTCATGATTATTGTACTGCCTACTTACCTCCAATACTTCTGCCGTACAGAATTATCATTACGGTAATTAGAAAAAAAGATTTAAATAAAAGCTATATCCCATTTCTTGCAAATGTATTGATGAAATGGGACACAAAGCTGTCACAGGCATTTTGCATAAATGAGATACTCTGTACTCCACGCTCCATTAGGTATGTGGGGGCGAATAAAGTGTTCTGTTATGTGTTAGCTGCAGGCTAATTCAATTCAATCTCCAAAATCCAAATTCACTTTTTGTTCTTTGAAGACAGCTTTTCTGGAGCTCAGTCACAGCCTTTGTGCAGTGTTATTAAACACATTTCTAACTTTTCTTATTAACCTGCATGATATCCAAGAAAACCTTGGTTAAAATCCCCACATTGCAGCACTGGGCTCTCTCTACATTGAAAGCATTCCCCTGCAATTTGGCAGGTATACTATAGTGCATAAACCACGCTGGTCCTTCCTGTTGGAATTAGTCATGGCTTAAGTCTGACAACAGATTTCATCGCAGGCAGATAAACACAGTGGTAGACTTTGAAATTCCGATACAACTTGAATTATGTTCTGTATAAATTAAAGTGCGTCATTCAGCACTCACAGTTGTTCAACATTGCCAAAGACTTTAATTGAGAAAGTGAAACCGGGTACAGAACTCTGTTGTAACAGTTGTAACAGCATCTCAACAAATAATGCAAGTTCTGCCAGCGCCTTTGTATACAGATATGCTGTGTCATATATCTCTGTAACAGCAGCTCAGCAATTCCCCAAACAGGTAATTTCCTGGTCTTTGCTAGGAGCCCCCGAAGAGTTTTGTCTTAGCTAGACATGGTGATGAGCAATTGCCTTGAGAGAGTATGGAAAATGGAAGACTAAGTCGGTTCATGTTGCTTTGAGTCATCCCCACCAGCCAGCACACAGTCAAAAAGCCCGGAAGCAAATCACCTGCCCACGTCTTCACATCTGATGAATAGTTTTCTAACAGGAATTTTAGCAAAATGGTATAATCTTAGTTGTGTGGGAATCCTCGTTGAACTGGCACCAGGCTACACAATCAACTGCAGCAAATAAATTGGAAAACACGAATAATAAGTGTACTCTTAAGATAAAGAAAACAGTGACCTTAAAGGTGTATGTTTGTCTATATATTTAGTACTTCAAGGTTTATTTTAACACTTAACTTCTCCTCATGCTAAAAAAATCCCTAGTGTGCTAAAACCTACAATAAACACACACCACACCATCCATTATTGCCTAACTCAAAGATATCTAAACAACAGGCTGGACTTAATGCTGCACTGAGAGTGACTGCATAAATCACAGCTGAACTGTGGAAGGGGTTAAACAAAGAACCTTTGCTCCTGAAGAAAAACAGGCTTCATTAAAAACACAGAGCTGGAAAAACAAAGACAGTCGCCAGGCCTGGCAACAACAATCCATCTCTCACACAGATGTCTGCAAAACTTTCTCCCACACAGGCTGAAGGTTGCTGGACATCAGAACTTGCATTTCAATGATCTGTCATGCAAATCCACCGCTTGACAAACAATGTAATCAGGGACAACAAACCTGACCAGCTCTTCAAAGCTCCACTTATAGTGGCAAACGGAGGTTTAGGCATGTTCTGAAATCACCCCAAATCTGACCTCTGGTTCCTAGTATAACTCACTGGATTTATGCAAATCCAAATCGACACCCATGTAAACAAGACACACTTGAAAGTACAGTACATGCCATAAACTGCCAGGACCCTTCCTGATGTGAATCCTATCTCTCTGCTTCTCTCCCTCCGCCCACCGCCAACCATGCTGTCCAAAGCGCTATGACTTATCACGCCCACACTTTGTGTTACCCTGTAATTCACTAGAACAACTGTCTGTGTTTGCTCACAGAATACGACATGTGCACACATGCGTGCACTAAAAATGTAAATACACTGAAACACAGGAAAACAAATCTGGCTGCGGAGTCCTGTGCTGATATCAAGAGGCCAGCTTCACTCAATCAACCTGCATCGATACTCAAGCAAGCCTGGATCACACCATCAGCATAAAAAACAGGGATTCACAGAAACAATTCTGCAGTTCAATGCAAAATCACATCAGTTACTTTCACGTTTTGTTTTGTTTTGTTTTGTTGGGAGTGGAGCGAAAACAACATATTTTTCTATAATATCTCAACAAGAAACAGGTCAAGTGTATCAAATCCTAAAATAACTTTGTCCTTTCTGCACTCTGGATAGCAAGCTATTCGTTTCCTATAGTTCATCAGAGGTCACGTGTAAGGTAGCCAAGGACCACCCAGGAAAGCCACGATTATTGTGCTTTGTTAGCTGGATTTAAGCATCAATCAGTCTCATTTTTTTATATATACACATACACACACACAGACACACACACTAGAGATGTTTACTGGCTTGGACACAAATCATGGCTTGAATAACGCTGCATGAACCGAATCCATTGACGCAAAGCACCTAGTTGGTCACCCTCATTTGTTTTAGAACCCTGTCTCTGCTTCATGTAATATCCAATAATAATATTCATGTTGCGGTTCTTTTTTTATTGTGTATGCGTGTTTGTTCCTATCAAATTGAAGGATGTCAGTGCATCAAGACAATGTAATGGAAAATTTACCATTTGTCTAACTAGTGACAATATCAAGCACTCCAAAGTTAGGTGTAGAACTGAACGCGGGCATCAGAAAGTCATTTCTTACAAACCATTAGAGATGAGTATTCATGAGTATTCATCTTTTCCAAGCTTTGGCAGTCCAAAAATATATGTATCCACAAAATCAACAGCTGATCCCAGCAACCATAAGGCCTCATTACATTTCTGGAGTATATTACAGGCATATATATGTGTGGGGCTCCAGGAAATAAACACCCTAATTGATGACCAGGCATGAATAGAAAACATGTTTGTTATTGTGGTGAACAATATATTTATAGCATATTTATTTACCTGTGCATCACTGTAACCAAAGCACACTAAATGGCAAGACACCAAAGAATGAATACACACACACAAAAGCATTTAATATTAATAGTTTTGTGTCAGGCAAAAGCTCTATGCTAATAAGACATGTCAATTCCTGGGTACACAACAGGTCAGGCATAGCACTGATTAGATAGACAGTAATACTCCCCCTACCCTGCCCCATTAAAGTGTCTTAACCCCAACCTTCTGTGCATTACTCTATGAAGTGTTCACCAAAATACTAAGGAAATACAAGAATGACAAAAGCCAGTGAATTTCCTTTGGAGTATGTCTGCTTCTTATCGGTGTCAATGGGCTCTACCTCATGATGATTGCTAATCATTGTGCCAAATCTTCATAATGGGAAACCCCACTGCAAAACCCACAGCGAAAAGATCCCTAGTTTTAGCGCCAGGCACAATATCTCAATGAATTCAGTCCTTTCACAGTGGTCTCTCTCACTTCACTCTAACTCACACTCTGCAACTTTCTCATATTCCTACTGGATGTTCAGTACAAACTTCAGCAAATAAAAATATTTAAATAACTGTTTCAGAAATAGTTGGGACACAATGGGAGATGAATACTTGCCTGAAGAGTACTTCACATAGAATTACTGTAAAGCGTAATGACCATGTATTTGTAAGTGAATGTTGCAGCCACTACAATGTCTCAGAAACAGCCATGAAGTGAATACTTCAGGCATCCTTTAATTCTGTTGATTTGTTACCACTAATGTAAAAGATAAGCTTGGCTCAGTTGGTAGCCATTTTTTCCTCCAGGTCAGAAAGGTGTGGGTTCAAGACCCATAGATAGTGCTGTATGGGGACAGTGCTGAACTGTCAGGGCCTTCAGATAAGACAAACCTAAGCCCCTTCTGCCTGTTCAGATGGGTGTTAAAGAAGACAGTTTCTCCTGGTATCCTGGTCAGCAATCCTCCAAGTAAAAAGTTCATTCATTTAATGTGGGACATTGGTATGTACAAAGTGGCTGCTGCATTTTACAATAAATACAGTCACCAAACTTCACAGAAACTGTGCGTTCTTGATTTTATAGAAACAAGGAAGGGTTTACGGTTATAAAATTGTACAGGTCTTGGTTATGCTTCGCCCCCCTCCTTAGCCTCCTTCAAGCCCCACCTCAAAACCCCCCTTCCCCTCCCCTCCCTTCTCCCTCCCTGACCCTAGCTCAAGTCTGAAATGCTGTACACTGTCCAGCGCCTTGGAACGTCCTCCCGACGTGAAAGGCGCTATACAAATGTAATCTTGTTGCTGTTGGTAGCATGCAGGTACAGTAGGGCCATAAAAACATAAGATTTATTCAGGCATAGAATTCTAAAGTACCGATTACTTCCCATTCACATTTTTGATACAAGACACTACTTCATGATTTAATGCTGACCCAAGCATAAACTTTTGCCAATTATTTACTCTTTTATCACTGAACAAGTTTGGCACCTGTTGCTCAATAATAAATGTTTGTAAAGATTATACTTGCAAATAAATCCTTTAGAAAGCAATCAAACGGTCCAAATATAATACTAATCCTTCTGTGCATTCAATACGAAAGATCCTGACCTAGTGTATATTTGACGAGCTGGGTAGTCATTTGTCATCGTTCAGCTGTGTTGACACATAAGTTTTGAGCACACAAGCTTGTTTGGAGACGTATAACTGTTAACACCCACTTGTGTTTTCTAAGCAAAAAAACCCAACAGCGTGGACTGGTGATGCCAGTCCTTTGAAAGGAGGTGGG